TCAAACATTTATTTTTAATAAAGCTTATAGTTATGGCTGCATCCGGTGAACCCTGAGACATCCCTTATTCATGCTGCAATAGATTTAGGCTGCTGGTAGACCTCCCATGATGCACTGAGCATTTCTCCCGTAATATGTCTCTAATGCATGTTATTAAGTTTTGTCAGTTCTCTCCTGTAGCTTGTGTTTTGTTCTCTCTCTTTTTTTATCTTCTCTTTGAACTTACTGGCTGCATTTGCACCTTTTCCTGTTAAAAAGGAGTTCTTCCTTCGCACTGTTGCCGAGTGCTAATGGGGAATCCTCTGATGTTGAGGTTTTCTCTCTAGCACTGTTGGGTCCTACATAAACCACCTTGAAGAACTGTTGCTGTATAAATTAAAGTCCCCTCACTTTTCCCTTTTACTCGTGTCCCCCCCCCCGTTCACATCTGTGTCTCTGTGTGTTTTGACTTTCATCTAAAGATGCTGAGCTTTGCCAAGTGTTGTAATGTGTTGTCTGTGATTTTTCATATTCCTCTCTGTGTTGTTGTTTTTTCACACTGATGTCTTAAGTGCTTAAAAAGAGCAATTGGACTTCTTTAGGTTTGGGAAGACATTTCGACTCTGATCCAAGAGGCTTCTTCAGTTCTAAATAAATTGGCACACAGTCTTGATATCCTTTCCCAGGTATTTCAACCTCCAAGGAGACAATTCCCAGTGGGGTTTAAATCTCTGCCAGTTGTTTCAGAACTGAAGAAGCCTCTTGGATGAGATGTGAAGCTACACAAGTCCATTTGCTTTCTTTTTAAGAACTCATAGCTCGCATGTCCTTGATGACTGAGAACCTATACAGACCTTTTGACACTGTTAACCTCTGTGATGTTAAATGTGCGCCCCTGTGTAGTGACCCAAATAACCTCCTCTCTGTGCCTCTGCCTGCTTTCAGTTATACAAAACACATCAACTAACTATGTCAATGACCCAGGTAAGACCACTGTGCAAATAAATCAGCTACAAAATGCATAATTAAACTTGGTTGACAGAAATAGGTAGTTCATTTATCAAAAAGCTCCCAGTTTGGATTCAGGAGAGAGTCGCCCTCCATCATTTTCACATTAGGATTAATTTTTTTGTTAAAGTTTAGATAGGGCTTGATCTTCTCCACACACCTTTTTTCACTCCTGATGCATTTATGTGCCACTGCTGCATGCTGTAACTTTTGTCTACCCTCTCTATGTTCTCCCGTTCTTTTTCCCCTCTATTCTTCCCGTTCAGCCTACACCCAGTCACGGCAGGTGGCTGTTGCTGATTGTTGGTTCTTTACTTTGCAGAATCAAGTGCCTTGAGACGACCGTTGTTGTGAATTGGCAATAAATAAATAAAACTGAATGGAACTGATTGAATTGAAAGCTTATAACCAGCAAATTCAGAGTCTCCAGACTTTCTTTTATTTAGTCTTGTGGGGCAGTTTTTTTTCTGTAAGTCAGAAAGAAAGGATGAGAGCAAGGAGGCGTGACGCAAACTCAGAAACACCTGCAGGCCTTAGTTACCACTGTGGTATGATAGATAGGTCATTAAAAGTGAGGTTTGTTGTCGTTACAGGGTGTCTTAATTATTAATTTATTGTCACGACTGCTGTTCTGCGTGTTGGGTTATTATAAATGTAGACGTTTTGTTTTAATGTAGTCTTAAAGTTTGAGAATGAAGTCATGCTTGCAAATGATGTGGAAATAAAAAGAGAAAGGTTCACACACGTACATGCATCATTGTGACTCTCATCATTGAGTGCATCTAAAGCCGATGCTTTAAATGCACTCAGAGTGAGTCTCCTGACTCCCATTATGGGTCCTGCTTTGTGTTTTTCTGTGTCTGCTCTCTGTTTATATTTCACGCCAGGAAATTTTCAGCCCCTCAGAGGAAAACTGCTCTGAGTCCACGTTTCTCCCAAAGCGTTGATAAACGGGATTACACAGGGCCCCTGTAGAAAATGACTCTTCTGCTGCTGACTGCAGTTTGCATATCAAAGTTGATGTTTAGATTCAAAACACTGATAAGATCCTCTGAAATAAAACATTTATTCAGGACTCTGCTGAACATCAGCAACACAAACCTGGGGTGTCAACCATAAGCCCGCAGGCCAGAGCTGACACAGCAAAGACTCCAATCTGGCCCAATGGACAACTTTGAAAGGAGGAGCTTTTGAACTTTTAACTGTATTTTCACGTTTTACAGCTTTTCCTTTTCATAAAGACCGCTTCCATTGCCATTCATATCACTGGGCAATCAACTGCCAGATCTTTCTCTGCAATTTTAAACATTTGTCATTTAAACGTTTGTCATTGAAAATCTGAATGTTGAAACTGCATATGTAAGACATCTTGGAGATTAAATGTGAAAGAGGCATTTCACTGGTCCAGCCCACTTAAGATCAAAGTGGGCCACGTGTCCCTGATCTAAACTGTGTTTGAGTATTATATGAAGTATTTATGTGCATATGCCCACTGATTTCTGTGTTCATTTGGTTTTTCTCAGTTCAAACGCCCACCAAATCACCAAATATCAAGAAAGGTTTGTACATCACTCTGCTGTTGCAGATTCTCTACCGCCTTCCTTCCACTTCTCCTCTGTGAGCACACTTCTCGCTCTCTCGCCTCCTAGCTTTCACGAGAACCCTCCCTGGTGATGAACAAAACATCAAAGCGTCATTGGGTTGTTCATCATCTTCACCTCTTCCTGCGCATGTTGTAAAAGCACTGCTGCTCCTGCAGCCCTGATAAACTGCCACTCCGTTTCTTTATCTTTCAGGGTCACCTGAATGATGCTACTGCCACACTCTCCTTAGGCGCATTGCAAACTGTATCTCCACCTGTATCAGACTCTCCTGTCTCCTGCTGTCATTCTATTCCAAAATCCGGGTGCAGTAAGTAAAGCTGTGGGTGTTTTGTGCTTCTTCTCCAATAGAGAGCAAAGGTTTTGTTATCGCAATCATCATCATCGCCATCTTCCTTCTGGCTATCTTGGGAAGCGTGCTCTATTTCCTGTACAAGAAGGGCAGGATCTGCGGCCGATCTGGCAAGCAAGACTTGTAAGTGCAATGACAGCAGTTCCATGCATAAACACACAATGTCTCCACATAAGGAGACATTAAAATGTGATTTTATGGCTGGACTGTATCACAGTATTGTAGTTCTAGACCATTAGAAAGAACTGAACATGATGCATCGATGTAGAAAATTCAGTTATGCTATGTTGTGATTAGACTCCGATGGCCCATCACAGCCGAATGAAATCCCAGCAGTGATAGGAATTAGGGCAGAACCCCCCAGAGTCTAGACCAGGGGTGGGCAACTCCTGGCCTTGAGGACCAGTGTCCTGCAGGTTTTAGATGTGTCCTTGATCCAATACAGCTGATTTAAATGGTTAAATTACCTCCTCAACATGTATTGAAGTTCTACAGAGGTCTGGTAATGAACTAATAATTTGATTCAGGTGTGTTGACCCAGGGTGATATCTAAAACCTGCAGGACACCGACCCTCGAGGCCTGGAGTTGCCCACCCCTGGTCTAGGCTTGGGTTGAGTGACTTGTGTGAGGCAGCGATGGGGAAGAGGTTGATTGCACAAGGGAGATGAGCAGGGCAATTTAAGGTATGCAGAGTGGAGGCTGATTGGCAGAAAGATGATTGGACTAAAACAATGATGTCTGCATTGAGTTTTACAGCATGGGAAAAAGGAAGTGATGAAAAGAAAAGACTAGCAGCCAAATTCCTGGGAAAGCAGACAGATGATAGATGACCCTTTGATATAAAAGTGTCTAAAAGGAGAAGCCAGTCAGGAAGTGCCTTAAGCTGCATTCTCTCTAATAGCCTGCAGGGGGCGACAACTAGGGTGTCTATATCCATCTTTTAGATACAGTTTGTGTTCACAGTTGATTCAAAAGTGCACTTAATAACATAAAACATTAAATGTTAAAGTTGTGAGGTGTGTTGTTCCTAAAGCCAGAGTGTGTAAAGGTTGCTCTCTGGTAAAAAGTGATATTTAATTTAGGGCTGTAGGTAACAATTATTTTAGTAACTGAGTAATCTATCAATTATTCAATTGATTGATCCAGTAGTCAGATAAGAAATACTTTTCTGAGCAATAATTAATATGAGCAATAAAAAAAACACAGGTTTTTCTAAACGAACTGCTCATTGGTTTCCATTTTAGAAATTGCAATGTTTTAATGCAAACGTGTCAGAAAAATATGAAAGAAAACAAGCCTTTGATGACCTGCTATATTAAATTTAATTACTAAAGAAAACATTTTCTTAAATGCAAAAAATATAAATAATCTCAAGTACAGTTGAAGTCAATAAAATAAGATATGTATGAAATCCAAACGAAGGCATAAAAAATTTACCTTTACGCTGAGTTTTAATGGCCCGTGTACATTTCTGTTGGCTTGTGAAAAAAGCTTTTGTTTTATATTTTTAAATATTAACGCAATATTTTATATTATTTCACTTTCAGTCTGAAAAATGTTTAAAAAAAATCAATGGGTCTATTACACCCTATTCCCCCCGTGTAGACTCACCCCTGTTTGCTGCAGGTATCGCCTCCATGTAAAAAGGGCGGCTGCCGTTCGTTTAAACATGGTATCAGACTAAGTTAATAGATCATCTGCACATTTTAATACAACTCGGTTGTGGGCAAAATACCTGCAACTGACAAATAAAGGCTATCTCATCATCTCATCATCATCAACTTGATGAAGTTTACTGCAGATTTTTCTCTGTGTAAAACAAAGCAGTGGATGGAGCAGCTATAAAGTTCGCTTTTCTTTTGCTATAATTGAATCCCTCGAATTACTCGATCGATCGTTGCAGGCATAATTTGAATTTTGTGATATTAGTGATACACCTGCCAGAAGTACTTTAGTAATAAACCTGTGTCTTCGTAACACTACCAAAGCCATGCTGTAAAATTACAGTAATACAAACCTGGCATTGTCACAGTTTACACTCATGAAGCAGAAAATGCTTAAAAAACACGGTGGCTGTCAGTCCCAGACCCTTCATTAAATGGATGAAGTTTAAAGTTTTTTTTAATGTGCAGTTGTGATTTCCAGAAATATTCAGCAGCACTGGGAGTACATGGTAAAATCAATACACTTACTGATGAATGTGTACATATATATATATATACTCATTTTATTATTTTTTGTGTGGCTTTAAAGGACACACGAAGTGACGCCCCCTGTTATGTGAGCAGGTACAATGCATAAAGCTTCAGATAGGTTCAGTTATAACTATGGCTTGTTCTTGACCCTGCAGCAGTAAGAGGAAGTCCAGCAAAGATAACATTGTGGTGGAGATGAAAAGCGACAACACAGAGGAGGCGATTCTCCTTGGGGTCAACGGAGAAAAGCAACAACCAAATGACCAAGTACATATCTGATCCTGAACTGAACTCGCTAAATCGAATGGTCTTTCTACTGAATATCAAACTTACCAGTACCCCACCCAAACTTTCTCTTTTGTGATTGTTTGCTCTCTGCAGTAAAGACCGATGAGCGTCTGCACGCGTGAAAGTGAGGAGGTGACACACCGACGGCTGCTCCCGTTCTCCCCTCTCAGCCTCAGGCCCCGCTGCTGCCTTCAAGCACCCACAGCTTTTTATTCCAATCGTGACTATCAGGACAAATGAAGTTATTCCAAGCTATGGCTTTTTCTCTTTCTGCCCTTTACGTGCCAGCTCCTCTGTTGGAATGCATCTCGAGCTTTAATGAACAAGGTTGGAAAGTTTCATTTCAGAACTAAGTAATCTCCCTTCAACCCCAAGGAATGCCGCAGATTCTCCTCACAGTGTACTGCTGATAGTCCACAGAACAATAATTAGAGCACAAAGCCGACCAGGGACTATTTTTATACCCCAAAAAGCATCACCTCAAGCCCCTTCAGTCACCGAAGAGCAGCCTGAAACAGCTGAGCTAATGTACATATTATTATCTATGTATATATTTCTTTATTTAAAGTAACACAATGTGGGGGAAAAGAGAAAAAAGCAAGACAAGATAGTGTGGTGGGGTTTTGTGTTTTTTAAGGAAGATAGCAAGGAGAGTTTAAGTAGATATTTTGTTTTTATTATTTTGTCTTTACACTGAATTGTTTTTGTAGCTCTAGCGATGCCTCACCTCTACAGCCAGTTCACAGCTTCACCAAATATTGGCTCTGAAAGAAAAATTTGAATCGCGTACCTTTCACATTATTTTGATATCTACTCCTCTAACACTCAACTTTCACACAACCTGCGGAGTATAAAGTATATTAACTAGTCATTTTGTGAGGCAGGTGAACAAATCTGACTATATTATGCAGTCCAGTTATAAACGACCGATGCCTTAGAATCTACATTCGAAGCCATTTTTTTATTGTTATATTTAATGTTCAGCGCACTGATTTCTTTGGTGATTCGTGCAGGCTTTGTTGTTGTGGAAGGAGCCACCATCTTTCATCGTTCTATACGTTCATGACATGCTTCACTTCTGTAATCATTTCTTTTGAAATTTTAAAGTTGGAGAGTATTGGTGTTTGGTGAATACACATGGGTTCACGGCATGATGTTTCCTTCTTTATAAGAAAAAGACATTTCTGTGTGACGAATGAAGAAATTCATGTATCGAGCAAAACTTGAAACACTGTTGAAAACTGTTGTGTCCCAGAGAGGCATGAGAATGCCCCTCAGCCTTGATGCCTTAAAACATCAGCCACTCCTCATTTAAGTGTAACCAGAGCCTTTCTTTTTCATTTCGGTAACTAGACTAGACTTCACTACTGAGAAGAGGGGACTGACTGTGACTCTGCATATGCAAATCATGTTTGAAGACAGTTAAGCCTCTGTTTTGTTTCTGCTGTTGATGCGTGAGACCACTGTTCAATGTATAATGCCTTTTTAAAGACTGAAAGATAAAATGTGTTATAATATCACTGAAGACATTATAACATATTTAACAAATCTGATTGTTTGTAGTTTTTTTTGTGAAATTCTACCAAATAAAAATGGACTGTTAAATGAACATAACTGGAAATGTGTCTGCTGACATAAAAATATGACCTTTTTTATTTAGCCATACTACAAATCACTGCTGTGCCATGACGTGCCTCTACTCTGTAATGGTCAAAACCTTTAAAAACAAGTTAAAACTTGGTTACCTTCCAATTTACACACAGTGTAAAATCATTAGGATGGGTTTGAGCTGTCACTTGAGAAAATATCATGCTTAAAAACAAAAGAAATCAGTTATATAAAGGTACCACTGGGAAGTGTCATCAAAAAAATTCAGGGCTCCATCACTGGAGCCCTGCACAGCGATGCACTGCGAGTTTTCAGCCCAAGAAAAACTCAAATTATACATAAAGAGACACTTTCAGGCCAGACTGAAGTTTGTCAAGAACAATCTGGAGAATGATTGATACTGGAAGCACATAACGATCATTTCAGGTGCACAGACATACTGTCAATCGACTAAATGTTTCCATTTTATAAATATAGGACAGTCTTGAGATACCAGCATTAAGATCAAATATAAGCCCAAAGGAGCATTGTGGCTAAATCATGTAGAATAACGGACATGTTTTATTATAATTGCAATTCTTTTCTTATATTAAAATTTCTTGGGGATTAAATGTGCGATAAACTTTTTTACACTGACGGAAAGAGCAAATGTAACTGGTCAAAATGAGTTCGACACCCTTGTTCTTGATGAACAAAGTGCAATTTGATGTAAATGAGGATATTTTTGAGCAGGGAGTCATTCAGTTCTCCTCTAATAATAAAAATGTGGAGGCAGAAACTAAACATAACAGGTCCACTTTAAAGAATGAGCCTTGTGAATTTTAGGTAGAAATAGAAATCGTTCTTTACTGGTTTTACCACAAATATATATGTTTTTTTCCTTGGACGTTGTCTCACAGATAACTGGCAAATAGTCAAATATTATTGTTAATGAACATTAGTAATATGAGTTGTAGGTATTGCACAGTAGGTCTGCTAAACATGACAGTGTGGCATTTGTGCACACAACTAAAAACATATAGCTGCTGAACATGGCGTGAATTAAATTTCCAGCATTAAATGAGTAATGTGCGACTCTGTTTTTAAGTCAAGGGGTTCTATCAAAGAAATATACACCGATTAGTATCTGAATGAATTTAAAAGGGGAGTTCATGGACAGTGGATGCCTATAAAGTGCCTACTTCTAACATCCACACCAAAGCAGGCATGAATAAGCAGATTATCCTTAGCAGTCCCTTTACAAACAGTAGGCAAGTTTATTAGGTTACATTGAAGTTTTATTTGATGATTGGTCATGTGATCTACTGGTCGGGCAGCCAAATCACATTTTGGGTTTTAATGCAATTACCAAATGCATCACAATGGAAAATGCAAGAGTATCAACTATTAAAATGGCACCAAAGCACTGAATCGGTCTGCAGTTCTGATCACTCACTGCTCTTTTTCAGTTTCATCTGCTTTGCTGTTAACTTGTTTAGAGTCTTCTCAGCCACTCCTGCCTGAGCCAAAGGATGAAATTCAAATTTCTATTTAGTTTTACCTTAAAAAGTTATTGCCAAATGGCAGCCGAGTCAAGAAAATCACTGAAGCTTGAGCACTCTGACTGGAGCTACACACGGGAAATGACTTCCCCCCAGTTTTTGTTTTTTTTTAGTTTTATGTTTTAAGGAATACAAAGCTAAATATGTGTAAACAGGGGAAAGAGACACCTGAAGGCTTTTGCTTGTCATTTTATTAACAGCACTGTGCATACTTCCAAATTGATATGAGCTTTAAAAACCTTTTTTTTTTAAAAAAAGCAAAAAAAAAAGAAAAGAAAAAAAAGCAAAAAAAAAAAAGAAGCTTTTTACTGTTGAGAAGCAATGCAGCCGTGTGGAACAACAGCTCCCTCTTCTGGCAGATAACTGAAATACCCCTGGTTAGCATCAAGCTCAGAGTCTGAGGCCTGATGAGGCTGAAGAAGCATAGAGGACAGATTAACACAAGCAATACCGCATCATTTTGCCTTCGGAGACCAACAGGTACACATCTATACCAACAAACGCTCTTCCAAAAAACATCTAAAAAACAAAAACATATGGCACTGCTCACTGAATTATTCACATAAGTAAACAAATCCTTTGGAACAAAATACATGTACAGGAATGCAAAATGAAATATAACAGCCATTTTCTTCCTCTTTTCATATCTAACTCTATACAATTTGCTTTTCTTTAGAGTGACAGTATCAAAGCACAAACTGGTATAATGTGCAAAAACAAAAACAATGGTAAATAATACAAGACAATGACATGCCATTCTTAATATATAAACACACACTGGTACAGTATTGATGATATGAGGGGAGCTTCCTGTCCATTAAACATCATTCAAGAAGTTTCTCAAGGCAACTAGGAAGAGTAAAAAAGACCCCAAAATGAAATAAAAGAGGGCGAGACAGCACAAAGCTTCCAGTCAACATGCAGAGACACCCAGAATAAGACAGGGCTGACTTACACGATGCACACACTCCCAGGGTGGGTGAAACCCCCCCCCCCCCAAAAAAACAACAACCATTCTTCATATGCTGGGAGAGGTTCAGTCAGTGTACCTAGAAGCTGCTTGGATGAATTCCTCATAATGCATTTGTAATTAGTACCTGGAAATGAAGCTGCTGTCTTTATAGACCTGCAAACACTGGAAATAATCTTAAAAAAAAAAACACTAATGTGCAAGTTATGTCAAACCAAAATGAGTAATAGGCTACTTGTGTGACTTCATTACGCGGAAACTTTTGGCTACATGTCACCTGGATGAACAGACAGCTGGACAGGTGAGCTGCTGTCTATGCCAATATGAGTCTCTTCTGGGTTTTTTTTTTTTTTTTGACAGACAGGGTGAACACCACTTGTTCAGACATACATTATTATTCCTGAGTTAGCTCTTACAGTCAGCCCAAACACTGATTTTCTGTAGACTTGGAGGGGTGCGCCAACAAACCCATGAGCCTACGATTAAAAAGCCTCGGCAGTCGCTCCCTTTCAGCAGGACGAACTCCTACAGAGGAAGGAAACCGATGTGAAAGAGAAGCTTGAATCTGTTGCAAAACGTCTGGTTTCCATTCCCAGAACATTTTGCTTGTGATATTTCTGTTCCTCTACAGATTCCACTTACAGAGTATATTTTATATTTATATATATGTTAAGAAAAACAGAAAAGAAAAACACTGAAGATTTGCGACCTGATAGAGCTGTGTGCTCACAAGTCGCTTGTACTTTCAAGTATGCTACATTACAGACTAGAGAAACACATGATACTGTCACTTTAAAGACGGTTAAACACAATATTCACAATTGTACATTGAAGTCTTAATTGTTTAGCACTAACAACAGTAGCAGCAGTGAAGCACTTCTGAATTAATTATAATAACAATATTTATGATCATATTACAATAATATATTATCAAAGTAAAATCAATGACTTTTTTTGTTGTTGTTTTTGTAACACTGGACTGAGCTGGAGATAGAAATCTGAACCAGTCAGCCTAAGAAGTTAGTCAAAAATAATAATAATGATGATGATAAAAAAAAAAAAAAAAAGAAAAGAAAAGAAAAAAAAGCGTTCAGCCTGTCTGGTACTGCAGGGGCGTCAACATTAGTACGTCCTCTAATCTCACTGCCAGGCTCTACAGCTACACTGGGCCCTGACACACAAGTTCGAGCAGTAGTACGTTTACAGAGCACGAGTCTTGAGTACACCGAGTGTAATTCCACATTCATGTTGTACAGGAACAGGGGTTTGTTTTAAGAGCAGGCCATGAGGTGTAGGTCTGAGACAGACACACACACACGCACACGCACACACACACGCACGCACACGCACACACGCACGCACGCCAGACCTGAAACCATCTTCATGCTACTTTGAAAAAAACAAAAAACAACAACATGACAAAACAAGCAGTTTCTAAAACAAAAAAAGTACCAAAGCAACAGTTAATCGAAGGCCATAACAGACTGAATTCCAAATGAAGAAGCTCTGCGGCATGTTTTTTTTTTTTTCTTTCTTTTCCCCCCCAAACTGCTGCTGACCAACAAACCCGGGTGAGGAGGACACCCCGACTCGTCCTCACCCAGTTACAGAAATCCCCCAACAGACTCTTTAACCTGGTCCCATCTGTGCTTTTTTCGCCTGTACCAACCGTGACCCTCAAAGCTGCGATCATTTTCACATACTATATATGCACGTACTGTATATATTACACACATTTAATATATATTTACTCATATATTAAATTTTCATATAGACATACATTTTAGTTTTCTTTGTGAGGTGTTGGTTACATTTTCAGCAAGAGGCTTCAAAATGAAAGGATAAGAATCCATCTCTCCGACATTCCTACAGAAGCCTTGCAATTATACGGCGTTCCATTATTTGTCGTTGCTCCGCACGGGATGAGTCCTGCAGAGATGTTGTTGAAAACTAAGAGGCCGGCTGCAGCAGTTCAAAGAAGGCCAGACACTGTGAAAGCGTGTGGAGTGCAGGGCGAGAGTCCCGAGACACTGCGAGCTTGCTGGAGTAACAGCCAGTTAAAAATCCACAGGGGCGTAGGGTGTCAGCCAGCACTGGAGCTAGTACTGCAGGCAGTGGCTTTGGGTTTCGGGCTGGTCTATGCCAGCCTAAACCAAACCAGGCTGGGCCAAGCTAGGCAAAAGAGAGCAAACAGGAGAGAGGCGGGAGGATGTGCTATGTGAGAATGTGCGCGGTAGAGGGAATGGAGACAAATTCGCGCAGGATGTTCTTGGCCATCTCGATATTGTTCTGTGCAATCATCAGTGCTTTCTGGATGTCGTGCTGAGTGTATCCCTGACTCATTAGGTGCTCGATCTCGCTACTGATTTGTGGGTTGGCTTCTCCTCCTGTTGCCCCGCCGCCGAGCGGAGTGGGGGGGACTGGGCTGGCCCGGCGCTCGGAATTGATTCGTCTGGGAAGGGGCTTTGGAGGTCTCTCTGGTGCCTCCATTGGATCTGGGAAGGCTGAGGAAATGGGAAGAGTGAAATCAAAGGGTCTGGCTTTGGTGGAATGACAACCAACATAAACTAGTTTTAAACATAACAGCCAGTGTGGGTCAAAGACAGAAAATAAAACTACTGGAAATAATGTGAAAATAATGTGGAAAAAAGGATCTTGATCACTGAGGTAAGCTATGAACTTTTTATCTTAACACACATTTGATGTCCTTTCCAGTGTAGTGGCTTTCAATAAACCAGTCATAAGCTCGAATCTCAGAGTTAATCAGACTGTGTGAGCACTCATTGATCCTTAGACATGAAGACTGAAGATGGGAACAATCAGACACTGCAATCATCCTCCAGCAGTAAATGTCAAGTCACAACAGAGGCCAGGACGTAATGAACACAGTCTCATCAGCAACCACCTGAACACTTAAACTCAGAGGTGGTGCTTCTAACATGGAGTCTCTCCTAAGTCATCTAAAACACTGCTCCCTTTATCTACTCTCTGCTTTAACTTCTTTCTTCACACCGTGTTGTGTCTGCTGAGGCAAGTACTGCTGTGTTAGCTCCTCGCAGTCTTTGGAGGAAGACGTCTGTGTGGTCACTACGGGTTTCTGATGACACAGCAGGTCATCCCACATCAGGTTGTTTCCACCATTCTGAGGACATCGCTTTGGATTTTTAAAAAAAACAAACTATTTTAAGGTCACTAATGTAACGAAACAGCTCTCTGTAATTACTGGTCTTTACTTTTCTTTGAATCTGCACGCACCCACAAATGCAGATGATGTGCAGTAAAAGAAATCAATCCATGACAATCAAAGTCCAGAGCTGAGTCTAATATTAACTCCAGAGAGCTTCTGGAAAATCTGCATTATGTTTGGCCCCAGACCAGGAAGCAAAATGCTTTAGCTGACTTTTCAGGCTGTGATCTGGTCAAAGAACTTTTGGACGTCGAGTTATTGATTCATCAGCAGTTTTTGCTGATTTTGAGCCAGAAAGGACGTGAAGGCTGTAGTTATAAAATTGCTATATACAAGTGATTTTAAGAGACAGGCAGTTTCCCTGCAGCTGCTGTCCCAGACGTAAAAAACTTTTAAAACATTTAAAATGTCAAAGCACTTAGTAGAAGTCCATATTTAAGCAGGATAAGCTGAATAACAGATGAAATGCAAGTAGAAATACAACATTAAAATCAGCTGTGGCAAGCATGTGTATGCTTATTGATAAAGAACCGAAATCATAGTAAAGAGAAAAAAAACAAAAACAAAAAAACACTTTTTTTAATCAATAAACTGTTAAACTTACACGCTGTCGCTCCAGCATCCGCATCTAGAGAAAGACGATTGAAAGCTGCTGCAGCGCATAATGAGGAGGATGAAGAAGATGAAGACAAAGACCCCCCCATTTCTGAAAGGGTCCGTCGGGCGGGAGGCAAAGGCAGTCGGGGTTTTGGGAAGTCGTAGCCGTTCTCCTCCTCTTCCCCGTCGTCAGCCTCATGGTCTCTGGGACCGTTACTCACTGGTTGAGGGGGCAAATCTGAATAGTCTGAAAGGAAATCAGAATATGACATCAAACAGAGAGATTAAAAGTTTAATACATGCTTGAGACCTTAACCTGTTTAATTTCATCTGGTTAACATTGTCTAAAACAGTTTCAGATAACTCACAAGTGCAGTGAGAAGTATAAGTCACATTTATGTCAATACAGAGGTGTTTTTTCCCAGGATGTGCAGTGGTCGTTTTAGCAAATAAATAAAACTTCAGAAAATCCAGATGAGGCTTGTCTGATTAAAACGTAAGATTTTTGCATATTCAAAGTATTACGTGAAAGTGAATTGCCCTGAACACTGCACACGGCCCCGCCCCACAAAGCCCAGCTGAGATTAGTGGGTCACAAATACCTGAATCTCTCGCTTGTTGTGACCTGGGCTGGGCGTTGAACATGGCTTCATACATTTGGAGTGAATGAGGTACATCGTCCAGAATCAGCCTGCAAGGCCAAAAGCAAAAATAAATCAATAGTGACAGTTTATTTTTCTTATGTGCTGCAAGAGCGTAATAGAAAGGCCTGAGTACCGTGTGTTCAGTGCAGAGGCCTGGGTCTGTGTCGGGACTGCTGACACGGGCTGCGGGGGTCTTGGGATTGGTGGGGTCTCCCCCATGAGTGGAGTCGGGATGGGGGGCAGAACGGGCCGAGAAGAGGGGATCATGTACTCATCATCACTGTCATGTCCTTCATCTCCTCCTGCTGGCCTGGCTGTAGCTGGGGACGCTCTGCAGTCAGATCCAAGAATATTATTTATTAAGCACCATTTATATTATGTAAAATGATCCTTAAAAAAGGTACCGAGTATAAATCAACTTCAAACAAGGTAATTTGTACAGCTTTGTGGATTGCAAGTAAGCAAAGAGCATGTCAATGATTCAGGAAAGACAAGATCCACTCCACTGAGATGCTTTCAGCAGCACTGAAACGTACCTGTTTGCCAGTGCATAAATGGCGTTGGCTGAGACAGAAGGTTTGACTCTGGGGTTGT